ATTATTAATTTATATATATATATATATATATATATATATATATATATATATATATATAATTATATGTTATATATCTATCTAAATATTTTATTTACTTTAAATGAGAAGTTGCGGATCAATGATGAACCTGTAATAATGTAGGATCACTTTGTACACTTGTAAAAATTGCATTACACTGTGCATTATGTATATATTGACAGTATAAAACGTTAATTTGTTTATAACGATGCTTTCCAGACTTTATTCACAGTATCCTCGAAAGTTGAAACAAGTGGTGGTGGAGGAGAGTTTTGTCGTGCTGGTAGTATGTGCCACTTGTGTCTTACAGTGATGCGTATGCCTAGTCTTAGTCCAAATCCTCCTCCACAGTTAATGTATGAGGTTCTGGCGGACCAAACCATGTGGGCGGTGTGTGGTCGGACAGCAGGCATTGTATCGTTAGAAATAGTAGAGAAACAAAGCGTCACATTAGATGTGATGCCTCTGACAAGTGGTTATTTGCCTCTCCCTGTTGTTAGATTATCTCGATACATACCCGCGACAGAATCGAAAAATGGTAAGTTTAAGTACTTTGTCTACATATGTGTACGTTTTATTTGATTTATGAACAAATTCATCAAATTTTTATTGTAGATATTTGCTATAATTTTTGAAAGAAAAAGATATTACGTTTGCCTCTGAGTTGTATAAATTTCTGTAACTGTTTTATTTGTTTCCATTTTAAGATATCGTCCGTAATAAAAATGATTTAGGATCTGGTCCTCGATTAGAGCCATTTAGTCCGGGACAAGTGTATAATGCCAGTAAAGCACAACAGGTGCATGTTCTGCCAGCAGCTCCATCAGAATCGAATTAAAGATGTATAAATTGTTGTTGAAGACATGTACATGTTCTTTGATTTCGTGTAACAGGTCATGAACATCTTTAATTAGGGAGAACTTTAGGAAATAATCGTAAGTTGTTTTTTTGTATCAAAATGAACAATTATGTAAATATTGCATTTTAAATTCATATAACAGATAAGGATTTATGTTATATCATATAAATTAATATTTTGAAATAAGCAAATCGGCATTGGATATAATAGTTTAATATTTATTTTTATTTCTATAAGATTTACAATTTACTTCAATTCTCTATTACCAAAGCCATTCATCTTTCGAAAAATTTGAATTTTTTGATTAATAATTATGTTAATGATGCCATAAAAAATCTTTATTTAAAAATTACGAATTCTAAAGCTTCTAGCTTCTACTAAATATATATTTTGTATTGAAACATTGTATTTAATGTACATAATTATTACGTTTTATAGTTCAATTCAAACTACATTTCATCAGAAAGTAATCGTGTTATTGCAATAATATGAAATAGCTACGTTATATTGAAAATAATACTAAAAATATTCTATTTCTCCACGATTCTTAATAATTCAGTTATGATAAATGTAAAGGAAGTATGCTACCTGTGTCCTAAATTATATACTTATATACTTTTGTCATTTTACATTATGCATACGATAATGTTTTCTTTCATTTTTTTCTTTCCTTTTCTCTTCCACCACATTCATTTACAATTTATTACTCTATATGAATCCTGTTTGCTCTGTTGTCTCTTTTTTCGTTAAAAAAAATATTTTATGCCACCTTAATATCTTAAGAAGGATGGTAATATAAGAATTTTTTAAATATAAAATATATGTAAAATTTGTACAAATATTTGTTAGCGATATATACTCATAAGCTTGTGAATAAATGTTACATATTTTTACTGATTGTTAAATTGTAACATAAAATAATCCTTATGGAAATTTTGATACGTAAACTAGAAATTTACTTAATGCTATGTAAAAGTATATATTGCGTTCGTTTATTAATATTTATATTTCAACAGAAAAATATATATATCTACTGAGGAAGAACAATACATCACATTTGTTAGCGTTTATTCGTCAGAATTGGATATTATCAGATAAATTTTTCTTGTGTTGCCATGTTTTTTTAGAATATATTATGATTTTCTATTTGTAAATGTAAGACAACCATAAAATACTCTTGATTCATATCGGTATATTTATTAAGTTGCAAATATCTTTAAACTGGTTTATGCAAAATTATGTTTATTATTCCAATGTTTTTGTAGAAAGTATTTCTACAAAGTAACGTAATACATTTATATTATCTATTTATTATCTTTGTTGATCCTATGTTTAAGATATGTATATTCAAATGGTTTTTTATATAATAATTTTGATAGTAATATGTTATACCAAATATATTTATATGTATAAAAGTTGGAGATGCATAGTTAATAAAATATATTAATCAAATATTTTATTGTATGTGTCATATATTGTAGTAAATATAATAATATGTTCTTATTATATTTGTGTAAACCTAGTCTAATAATATGTTCTTAAAATATTGCAAAAAATTCCAGTAGAAGTTAACTAAAATATATATTTCATTACTTATTCTTTTATGTTTCTAACGTTTACTGAAAGATTCAGTTATTTAAGTCAGTCTAATGTTTCTCGAGTTGTAATTTAGACTTATATATTTTTTCCTGTATAAAGAAAAGACTATTTGTAATATTCAAACAATTATTAAAATGTCCATAATACTCTGAAATAACTTTTAATACTCAAAATTATGTTGTAATACACATACTGTAAAAATAAACATAAGCCAAATGTTACATATACTGCATTTATACAAATATATAATAAAGTATATTAGGTCGATATTCATAGTCCGATCTTATATTCAAGATCGTCTTAAGTACGATCTTGAGATGCTGTACTTAAGACTGCCCATGACACCAAAATGATCTTGAATATAAGATCGAACTTCTCTACAAATACCGTTCTTTTCTTTTCAATTAGTAATAAGTTAAATTTGTATTCATTTTACATGAATATGTAAAACACGACATTGACATTTTACCATCACATGTGTGACATGTAGTGTTCAAAATTCATAAAAATGAAAAAAAATCAATTTTTTCCCCGCATAAAATTTGTTCTCACGCAGCATGTACAACCATGTTCAAATTACGTTTTATTTTAAAATAACGACATATTTATAAAAAATTATAAATATATTCTATCAACTATGCATACCATCTTAAAATTTACGTAATTATTTTTTATTCTAAATAACATTGGTAATTAAATGCTTGCATTTGATATGTAATTTTAATTGTGATAAAAGCTACTGTATATACTAGATTATTTTTTAATATCAATAGATGAAATAAATCATATATCAACATGTTAATAATTAAGAATAGAATTATAAGACAATTGTCATAAATGGAACTCGCAATATCGGCTTTATATTTCAAATTTCTGTCATACATAATAGTGTATGTTTCCATATGTATTAATTTAGTAGATATTAGCAAATACGCTGTTCATAATAAACTAAGATTGCAAGTAGGTAATCTTGTTACGACGATTTTTCAAATAAAACCATTATATTGCAAGTCAGAAAATACTGTATACTATAGTTTTTATTTTTTATAATGTGCGAAGATAATAAACTGTAAATGAAATTTGTACAGTAAATATATGTATCGACAATGTAAGTTAATGCGTAAATATTTTATTTACTCTTAATAGAATAGACAATACATAAAATAAATGATAACTAAGTTACATTGATAGATGTTCAGTGGAAATAATTTCTTGTTAAAACTATTATACGAGATCATACTGGATGCCACACTGAATGAACCGCCTTTTTCTGCGACAAGATATAAATTATCATATTTGTATCACGTTATAATATCATATACTTCTTCTTTTATCTATTTATATTTTAAATTTTCAAATATTTACTTACTGATTTTATATATAACTAATAGCTCGGTTGTGGTTGTTGGGTCAATAATAGACCGTGTCTCCTTTTCATTGTTATTCTTTGTCTAGAGTATTTATCTTCAACGGAAAAACGAGCTGTAAAGATGTTCAATATCAGTCTTTTTTAATGTCCTAAGGTATCTATGATTGCGTTCGCTTTGGACGCTCACGCTCACGTTTTCGTGCTGAAAGCATCACTCCATCTTTTTTCAACATGTAATGAGCAATAAAGATAGACTGACGCTTTCAGCACGAAAGCGCCCAATGCGAACGCGGTTTATGTAATAACTGTAATAAGAATAATTTACCTGGATGTGCAGATAGAGTTGGCTTTCCGTTGGGGTCCATTTTCTGTAAAAATTCAGTAATTGTTACAAAAAAGGGGAAGATATAAAAAAGTTAATTAAAGAGATTGTAAAAAAAATGGAAAATAGCAAAAAGAGAATCATATTGCGATCTATGATAATACACAGAATCTATATTTAAGAAAGATTAGATAGATAAATAAATATATATTTCATTATGTCATATTCTATTATATATTGCGATGTAATGTATCATGAGAAATCATCGGGATGACACGTGGCACGTAACCGAAGCCACCGAAAGTGGATTCGATTCCGACCTTCGTCGAGGATTCCCCGTTTGAAAGGAGGAGAGTTTTGAAGCAAAGGAATACAGAGTTTAATACACACTTCCGACCTCGTGTTTCTTAACTCGCATCTGGATAATGTTACATCATCCAACGTTTGTGTTTGTACTGCTATTATTATTCGTTTTCGACGCTGGCCGTAGGCGATCCCTGCTATGAGGGATCGGGTGCCATTATAATTTAGAAGAAAGAAATAAAGATGAGAAGTTACCTCTAAAGTGTACACCCGATCTCCCTTGTCGTCCAAATAATACATGAGATACATCTTGATGTATCTTAGGTATCTTCTCGACTGTAAACTGTAAGTTCTTTGCAACTTAACCTTCGTACTCGTACAGCCGGGCCAGTGTTGGGGTTAGGTTAGGAGTACTTGGGAGAAGAAGAGACCATGGTGGGACGAGAGTCACGAGAGACAAAACTCGCGCACGCGCCGTCTTGCCTCAGTCGCGCACACATATTCTATTACAATTTTATAAGGTATCGTTAGATCCCTCGCGAGAAAGAAACATGAGGAATATTTCTATTTATATAAATGTAGGATTCTTTTTACGAAAGAAGTAACACAATTTATGAGTAGGAAATAATGAAATTTATTATTTATTGCGTCTGCAGCCAACTTACAAAATAAATACCAACGTTAATTGTCGTAAACTCAGTGAAAAATTCGTCGAAAAGACGTCGCTTCGATGTCGTTTTCACGATAAATATCATTAAAATTATATTTAATAGTAATAATTAAAAATTAATAATATATCGTTCCGATGTCGTTTTCACGATAAACGACATCGGAACGATATATATTATTAATTTTTAATTATTACTATTAAATATAATTTTAATGTATTTATTATTGAATTTTAAAAATAAGCGTAAAAATGTTGTGTTACGTGACTTGTTTGGCGCCCCTCTCTCCTACTTGAAGCTCTCTATTTGACTATTTCTATGTATCCATGGCATCTGCCAATGCTAGTACAGCCGTGCTTATATCTTCCAATTGCAACTTCTTTTTTTAATGAATATTCATGTCTAATAGGATACAGTATGATTCGTCTAACTAATTGTAAGCTGCACATTTGGAAATAAATCAGAGTAAATGTTGCGTTGATAGAATGGAATACAGCCAATCACTACTTCTGCTTTTCCGGAAAAATGTTTGATTGGCTGCCTCGTCGCTCATCACGTGGCGCACGTCGTCGTTTCCTGTAAACGAGCCGTACGTTAGTATAACATTAATTTCAAGTTTTTGCGCTCTTTTTTTTCTCTCGTTATATTATATACTTGCTTTATGCTTCGCGCGACACGTTACATTTATTGAGAGTACTTCGGGTATGCTAAGAAAAACTATGAGAAAACCTGCTCGGTCAACGAGTGCCGACAATTCAAGTCTATCCAGATATTCCAGATGGGTTTTACGTAGCCGCGTGAAATATATGCATGGAGAAATCGATTAATATCAGGATGAAAAATAAAGCACGCTTATGTTCTGTACCTATATTATTATTATACGTAATTGATTTCTTCATGCATATGCTTTATGGGTCAATGACAAGCAGGAAATTGTTGCACAGAGTCGCCGATCTGGTTTTTCTGTTGAACGTAACTAATACAGACGGACAGTTCTGTATTATGGAGCAAAAATGCAAAGTTCTCGACTCTTCAATTTTTGGATAGAAATTTTTCAAACTTTCGTAGATTAATATTTCTTTTCGAAAATTGTGCATTTCTCTATATTTTTCTGTCAAAAAGTACTACAATTTAAAGTAATTTGGATTTAAATAATAAAGTTATTGTATTATTCTGATTTTCTATTTTCTCATATAACGAAAATGTGATTTATATTTTTTACAAGAATATTTTTTTACGGGAGAGCCAGAATTCTACAATTTTTCTAATATCTTTTAATTCTACAAACTCTAACTTTTCTGTCCTTATTCACACTTTTTATTCTGAATATCTTCGCAATATATACATAATTGCTTATAAAATAATTAATTTAAAATATATCTCCGAAATTTAAAAAAATGGGATGTTAATTTTACGAGAATCTAAAACCCATGTTCGAGCTTATGAGTCAAATCATCATTACACGTAATCAATTCGGAGGTTATTAAAATAGAATACGAAATATCTCTCCATTCATAATGTTCATGTCTTATAATTACAAATTAATTATCTCAACTCCTTACAATTCACAAATTACCGATCCGACGTTTCACGTTTTTTACTCAGACTTATAAAAGCTACCGCGCGGATTGCTTTCTATATAATTCTATATAATAAAGAGACACACTCGGGAGATCGCGCGCAGGAGATCCGACCCGCACATATACTCATTATCATGTTTATTATCGGGTCTTACGTCGCGTGTGACAAGTTGCTGGTCGCGGACATAGGACGATGCTCGCCGGTGATTAGCCGAGAAGCGTCCGCGGCGAGATGCACTGAGGCGCACCGGCCGGGCCGCGGCAGCGGCAGCGGCCGAGCGCGAGCGCGTAGGCGCGCTGATTGACAATTCCTCCTCGTGGCTAGGAGTTGACGTATAGTGGACACGCGTGCACACGCGCTCGGACGCGACGGCGACGGGAGCCGGCCGGATAGCCAGTGTCACTTCCGCTGACCAAATCGCTGTCAGTGCTCGTCCGCTTTGGCTTTATCGTCCGCCGCGACGCCGCGCCGCGCCGGCCGCCGGGTGTGAGAAAAGTTTGCCGAACGAGAAACGATATAAACGCATTTTTCTCCGATGCTGCGCGGCCGCCTCATCATCCAAGGTGAACGATTGTTCATATGGAAACGTGTTGATTAGGCGCGAAACGACACGTTGCCGGAGTGAATCGCGACGACGCGGCGAGGCGTGAATTTGCGGGATGCTGGACGCGCGGAAAACAGCAGACGCTCGCGCTGTCAATGCTGTCATCCGCTGCGCGGAGCGTCGATGATGTTCGGCTTTGTTTCCGTTAATGATTATACAATATAGGAAGCGCGTAATCGTCCGCAATTTGCGCGAATGTGCATAGGTGGAGGTCATCTCCATAGGTGTTCACGTAACAAATCGCAATTACACGAGCTCGTTGTTTTGGCTTCAGTCAATACATTTCGAACGTAATCGATCGTTAGCAGTAAATTGCTTTAATCAATTATAGAAAGTATTTTTCTCATTACATTACCTTAATTAAAAATAAATTCGAGATTAGGCGACCCAACTGGCCAAATTCTATTTATTTGTCTCACGACGTTTCGACCCCGATTTATTTTTATCTACGCACTAGCGGATCCAATAATTTATTCCATTGTTTTTACCTTAATTACCTCGAATTGTAAATAATTTTATCAACAATAATAGTTAAATATAGGTACATGTAGAGATCAAAAGAATTTCATTATGATGCGCGCGCTGAGAAAATGTTTACAGGAAATAACGATGTGTTAATGGTTTTTAGAACTATTATTCCTATATACTAATATTTCGCGACTTAAATCTTGTAATGCAAATTTTTGTGGGTTTAAGATAATTAGCAAATTTCTATTTCGATTAAAGAATAATGCGTACGATTGGGTAATGTGTCAATGTAATTGTTATTTATGTTATTTACATAATTAAAATCTAGAGTTCATTCATTATAATTTCAAGTATGTGATAGACACAGTCCGAGAGTAAAAGTTAAAGTCTTTAGATTTAGACACGATAACGACATTTGATTGCAATTGCGCGAAATCCTATAAGATTCGAGTCAGCTCGAATCGTAAAAATATTTTCGCGATAATTTCACGGATTGTTGTTACCAATGGAAGTAGTGCTTCACTCGTACATATTATCGGCGAACCTTCGTTCGTAAAAAATAATCGCTCCGATATCGTCGCGGCGACCTCTGCCTTACGCTACTAATCTCATTCAGTCTAGTGGCTAGAATCGATCGCAAATCGCGCGACACTTCGCGCGATTCTTAAATATTGCTTGATTATATCAACTGCTCCGCGATCGGTCGTTTCAGATGCAACGGAGGAAAATTCGTTGGATTATTCAGGTACCGGAGGAACCGCGGCACGTTGAGACCGTCGAGCAGCAAATCTCAAGTACGAAAGGTAAGAGAATTTGAATAACGCAAAAATTCAAGAATTACTTGGCTAGAAGGGAATCCTAATCTTTCGAAGGCCTTTCGAACATCACGCATATTACTAATTTAAAAAAGTTTCATATTATGTAGTTACAAATCTAATTGTAAATGAAATCATGCAAATTGATTTGTGCAGTACAAACGTAATTTACATTCATTTTTATTTACTTTAAATATTATTTAAATTAATGTACTATATACGTGCAATCAAAAATAAATGTTTGGATGGATCTTTTGACTTACGAATTGTGCGTAATAACGTTTGAAGTACTACGATTGTCTGGTTGTAAAAGCAACGGCTTTCGAAAGCGTTTATTTGTAATAAACGGCGCGTAAAACCAAAGATAAGATCCTCTGCAAGAGATTGACATGAACATACATAATTTATTACGTATATATAAATAAACATTCTGCGTGCCGAAGCCTCCGCGTCTCTCTGTTTCATGAAGTTTTATTGAGCAAAACTCCTGAGAGTAGACATCTTAAAACATACATATTTAGGCTGATAAGGGGAGGTCGCGACATGAAAACATAGTATATCAATCAGATTTTCAATTTAGATCTTCATCCTGTATTATCTATTAAACTGTCGTAGAACGTGTTGAAAAATTTAAAAACAATCTATTGGACAGACTATATTGGAGACCGAGTTTACTTAATATTTTTCATCATTTGTGGTGGAAAAAGAAATAAAAACTTATATAAAAAATCAGAATAGTATATGTTGTATAATCTCTGCAATATACTTTCATGCATTATCACAGAATAAAATATATGTTCTATAATAATGTCAAATAATATAACATATTATCTCGATAAACTGTGTGTCATGGAACATTCTACATGTATGTGTTTGCCTATACTTCTTACTATTATTTTATATTACAGTATGCGTATTCTACAGGGTGCCAAAAAAAGTTAATTTATACTTATATACGGAAGTAACTTTTTTAGAGAAAGAGACCTGATAACACAAGATATTATAGTAACAATGTATTTTATCTTCAAAGAGTCTTCACTTGTTCACCAGCATTGTCAACACATTCTTTGAATCTTCTCGAGGTAGTCTCCAAAGCCCTGAGGTATTTCTTCATTGTTGCAGTCACATTTGCAACTTTCTATCGAAGATCTTGTACATTGCAATGACAGTGAACAAGTGGAGACTCTTTGAAAACAAAATACATTTGTTACTCTGATATCTTATGTTATCAGATCTGTTTATCTATAAGAAAGTTACTCACCGTTTCTACTAAAAATATCTACCTAAATAATCGTCTTTATTTATTTTAATTATTAAATTTTAAATTATTAAAATAATTTTAATAATAATAATATATATTAATAAAGTTAAATAATATTTAGAAAATATCAGAGGCTCCTTTCCCGAGTAGTATTGTGCACCTAAAACTCGCAAATGTAAAAAAGAAAATATAGGTAGTAGATTTGCTACAATCTATAAAGATTCATGTCACGGCTAGACGTACCACTAGTATTTTATTCTATTCATTATGCAAAGTCGTGACACCGCGTGCATGTCGTTTATGTGATTATAAATAGAGATGATCGGCACGATCACGTTTTCGCGTCGCGCTTTACTCCGTTTTCTCCTTTCAGCGTAACATCTTTTTATAGATGATCACCATTGTCTTTTACGGCCGTAGTTCCTCCGTTGATGGATTACCCTGCACGCGCTCCCATTCGCTCGTCTTATTAAATTTACTTCGAAACGCGTAAATATAACGTAGAATATAACAGGAATGCCGATGTTACGGATAACGTAGACGGTGATATTGAGGCAATTTCGTTCTGTGTGCTCAACTGTTGGCAAATAAATCTAGCGATTGCACTTGGCAGCGGATGTCCTGAAGCGATGAAGCGTACATACGAGAGAAGATTATGTTATCATTCCTTATCTACTTATAACTCTATTTCTTGAAAGTTTGAAATACGATGTAAACCGCTATAATCCGCGATACAGGAAATTAAAAAATATAGAAAGAGGATCTGTCAGAAAACGTGTATTACATATACCTAATATGATAGGATCTAGTCAAATATTAACGACAGACGCGCTTTGTGTACATTTTAACAAGTCAGTTATGTCAAATACCAAGAAGGTATTTGATGCGTCGGCGCTAACTTCTGCAGAGATCACCCGCAGGGTCGAAATCTGGGATACCGCGCAGTGTCGCGACGGGCTGCGTCCCATGAGGTCGTTCCGAGTTATGGAAAGTTCGATGCGCTCTTATTATAGAAGTTCCCCGACTCCGTAGCCGCACTAGATTATCTGCGGGCCGCTATTCTCCAACGACAAGTGTTCTTGACGGAAACAAGTGAAACTGACATTTATTTAGAATGTGAATTTTTGGGTTAAATAGCACTTGCAAAAGTATGAACTTTGTTATAGAAAGAATTCGCGTTGATGGAATATATAGACTCCGAGTTTACCTTTCATTAGCAAATGAACAGAAGAATTTAATATCCCTTTGCGTTGCAAAGCCAGCGATCTTCATTGTATGATCATTTTCTTGTGCCGAGTGCACCATTATACAATTCTTCTTGGTTTTGTGTATTTTTCTTATTGTAAGTTGGTTGTTTTATTCGTGGAAACCTTCGTCTTCGATATCATCAATTTTATTAGAGGCGCGTAAATAATGATTATATGTATATATATGCATAATAATATGACAATATACACTAACAATAAAGCGTAAGGAAGAAATTGGAATATATTACATATTACCAAATCAATAACGACGATATGCAATATAAAGGCACTTTTTTAATCTCGATTAAATAGACGATTATATCTCCCGTAATTATCAGTCTGACTCTGGCCGTTTTAAATCACAATGCACGGATGTAATCAATGTGCAGTCGTTTATATCGAGATGATAAACACGTGTGTGTGCGTGTAGCATTCATTTAATTATATAGTTATAAAAAGAATATTACATAGTCTTCTATTACTGTATGTTTTAAATTATTTATTCAGGGAATCAGAAAGTTGATCAAGTTGTGAAATAGCAGCTACTTTATGTAAAATTAGTTATGTAATATTTAATTACAATTTAATATATTTCGTACGTTTTTTTGTATCATATAATTTATTACGTTTATGTTATTTTAATTACACGTTATTTTTTGCTCCAGACAAATATATGTTCTATTACTAACATCACTGATAGCAAATCATTATTTTATGCTAATTCTTACGTTAATAAATTTGTGTTAACGATTCGCGCTACATCAAAATTTGCTGATATGCAATGCAAATGACAATGAAAAAAGGCACACTGTTGGAATAATATATAAGAACAATTAGAGATTGTGGTGAAATACATATCTCTTCGCGAACTTTATACAAATCTATGTGAAGCTAAATTAATACACAGAATGGATGATGATATATGTAAGTATAATGATCAATGATCTCTCGATTAGCACATTTTTATATTGCACGTTTTTTTCATTGTACGTGATTTTTAATACACTAATTTTGGTGTGGAAGTCAATTTTTAATATAATTTTGTACTTATATCTAGAGTGTTCACCCTTTTGTTGTTCGAGACAATGTCAAAAAATAATTTGATTTTGTTTCTATTTTAATATTATCAGTATGTTGCCTAACATAATAATTACTTTTCATTTGTAAATTATCGCAAATACACGAAAAGTAATGTTCACGAATTTTATTCGTTGACTGTCCCATATACGTATTTAGTATATGTATATAATTATCATAACCCAGACAGCACACATGTCCAAAAGCGGGACATAACGCGTATAAAAGACACCTTTTAGACGTCTAAAGAAAAAGATGACTAAAAAACGTCTTATGTCCCGATTTTGGATATTGTGCTGTCTGGGAAGTTACGTTACATATTTTACTTCTACGCTTTTAAAACCGCAAATTTAATTTAATTCTTAACTTGTGTGGCGTAATAATATTATCTATACCTTCTGCGGTCAGGAGTAGTTAAGGGGCTAAAAGAAATACAATAAGAAGTAAAATCACTAACAAATATGACATTTTATCTAAATTTTATAGTTTTAGTAAGATGTACAAGTATTAAAAACGGGAAACAGAAGCGGTTTGTTGCGGAGCGAAATTGCGGCAAAATTTACAGCTTTCTTTATTTACGCGCGTTAGTGTCTTAAGTTTATTTAAAATGCACGGCGATGTTGTAGCGAAAACGCTAGAAAAGATAACCGTGGTATTGTTTTCATATTGAGGAACCATTGTTCCTAAGTAGTCTAAGTATTTCTTGGTCAACGGAATGTTTACTTTCTCCTGTCGGAAGTGATATGCTTTTGACGTAATGAAACTGTATTAATCCCTTGTGTGTTAGAAAAAAATATACGTTTTTACGTAAGAGTGTTTTCGATGAAGCGTTATTGACTGTATAATAGATGAAAAATATAAAAACACGCTCTTTTTCAGTGTTGCTAAAATCTTGTTTAAATAACAGTGGAAATCGCTTTGAAAACACGTTTATGAGTTGTATTTCGAGATTTAAAAATTGTCTAAAGTATATTTTGATTATTTATTTATAAGAGATGTTATTAGGAACAAGGGTAACTTTTTTATTGTAGCACATTATTTTAGTGCAACTATTATGAAACACCATCATGTTTATGATTGACTACGTACATCGAGAGCAACTAAGACAATAATTAATCACGATTAATATGTTATCATGAAATAAACGAATAAAAAGAACGCGTCATATGAATGAATGATCACGAATGTATACGTGTCGCAGATGAAAAAGAAGACAGTTTCGGGGAATTGCGGTAATTTTCTTGCTCTCATGCGATGTCGCGTTAAGTTCTAATACTACTATAAGTTTGGAAACAGTGGGAGGCTATTTCCCGAAATTGTACGAGTGGACGAGCAGACAGAGATATTCGACGATGAATGGCGGCCAAGGTAATTGTCCGTTATCATCGTTATCGTAACTTGTC